CTTATTGCTGTAAGCCAGGCGCATAAATATTCAATACAAATTCAACAACAAATACCACACAATAAAAGCAAGCGGCAACGAATGCAAGTGAGCCTCCAATTACAGCTAATTGTCGCTCAAAACAGCCGAGCACTCTCCAGTGCACAATACACAATTTACAAGCCAAAATGCCGAAATGTTACACAAATATTTACAAATTTATGCACAAACAAACAATAAAATGAAATCGGAAATGACTTTCTCGATAGTTCGATCATTAGTTGGAAAATGCACCTGTAGTTATTCCAACGCTGAATAAAAGCCACTGCAACTAATTTTTTGCCAAATTCGGCACAAACTTAACGCACAAATAGGAAACGGAAACAGCACTAACAACAATAATAACAAACTTATGGTACTGGCGCGCAGAAATCAAACAAATATTGCTCTTAAGGAAATATTATTTGTGCTTTAGCCTGTCACGCCACTCTCCCTTCTGCACTCTTCTTCTTCTTCTCCGCGTGTGTAGTTACAGTGTTGCAATTGGTTATTGAAAAGTGAATGGGGCTTATGTTTATTTGGCAGGAAATAGTAAAGAGGCGATGGAGAAGCATGTGAGAAAATGTGTTTGGCAGGTATTTAATTGTCGCAATTGAATTTGTACACATAGAAAGGAATTTATAGTGCTTGTAAATTAATTAAATTAATATATCTCATTATGGTGAGATTACATAATTTTAAAATAAATAATATGTAGCTAAAAATAATAAGTAACTAAAAATAATAAAATAATTTCAAAAATTAAACTACGGTAGTTTTCCAATTCGCGTTCGATCGCTGGCGTGTTAAGTAAAAGTCGTTATTTTTGTAATTGTTTTTAAATAATAAACACAATGTTTTTCACAAACTTTCTATATGCCGCGTCTAATTATACAACTCGCCAACAGCCTACTTATATCTATTTATCCTATTATTTCTATTACCCAGAACGAATTTGCTACTCAGCTGGCATGCAAGTATCAGCTGTGTTCGTCTTTCCTCCTAGATACCTACCATTTCCGCGCATGCAGCCCTGGATAGTTGTGTGGAAAGTTGTTGTCGATTTCGAACATACGATTCACGCGCTATACAAGTGTTGTAGTTGCAATTATCAGTCTCTCCCTTTCATACACATTCTTATCTGGAATTTTCGCCACAATACCATAACTATAAGTGTTTTCCCAACTCCTCAAGAAGCTATAATTTTCTCGAACATTTTCTACCTACGGTCCAAAAAAGAGAATGGAACTCCTATCGACTTGGAGAAAACTTGTACCCTTAATGGGAAATGTAAAGCGCCCGCTGTGTCACGGGAGGCCCAACTAAGTAGGCCCGCGTAGAGCACAAAACAGCAAAGAAAGGGCGCTGACGCAAGCACCTGTACCGTCAAAGTATCCAGCGCTAATCCTACCATTAGGTCCTCCGTGGGCTGCCTTTCAGCCCCCGGAACAGTGGAGAGACGGAGACTCTTTTTCTATTAATGAACTGACGGAGCAACATAAGATCAGCGTCAACTGGGCAAACATTATTCTAGCTGCCAGAGAGAATCGGATCATGGGGAAACACCGTGAGTGTATCCAAGAGACTCAGGTATGCAACGGCTTCCCATCAAATCCCACCAATGCAAGACCATTTGAAAAAGCAAACATTAAAAGGCTTACGAGATGCTTTGCAAAGTGACCAAAATTGGCGAAAAGCTTTAAACTTTTAGACCGAAATAAAAAAGAAGAAGAAGAAGAGTACATTAAACATCTCCTCCGTCACTGTTTGAACTTGACACCTGATCGAAAAAAAGTTCCTCCGGAAACAACTCTTTGACTGTCTCACTGAGGTGGCCTCAGCAAAAGTTGGAGACCTCATTGCTTCTTTAAGGCACATGAAATGCTTCGAGCATTTGAAGAGCTTCACAGCGGTATCACAATGGCATAGATAAAAAAAATTTCAGCTTTCAAAGATTTTAGTGCGACTCCCGCCAGTGGAAACAGAGGAAGGGAAAAATCTGCACTCCATTGGAAAAATCAGCTGGAGAAGGTCATGGTATAAATTGCAATTGGCATCGAATATCATTTTACTAAGCTGCTTGAAGTCTTTAGATACACTTATTATACACACCGATCACTTAAGGAATAAAAAAGTAGGGTTAGGATGTTATTTTGTGCAACTTTAACTCTTGAGCGGCTTGATTTCCACATTCTACCACCTTTTAACCCTCTTCTCTTGCAAAGTTTGCACATATAATGGAAATCAACGAACAGAGTGTTCTTTTTATTGCAACCTACAACGTCATCACCACCTTTGGTCGCTTCGAAGCTCTTAAGCCCCCAGACCTCAAATTACACTTCGACCAAAGAAGCCACGTAAACCACTCAAATCGTATAGACTCAAAGCAAATGATGTGTCACAAAGCAGCAATTGCCAAGGATTTGCACCCACAAATGTTTTGCAGGTATTTATGTATCGCACACATAACACCAAATATACGCAGTAGCTATTTTAGGTAAATACTCGTAGATGTGCATACACGTATGTTCCAGCATAGATTTCTAAATCTAAATTTGTTTTTGTGAGTGTAAGAACTTTCAGTACTTCCATGCAAGACCACGTACATACACGTATGTATGTATGTGCTCGTATGTTCTTGCATCGTTGAATACCTCGTCTTCAATTGCATTGCAGCACGTGCTGGCCGTCGCTGCAGCTGTTGCCTTACACTTTTGTTTTTCAATTTTTTTTCTTCCATTTTTTTTCAATTTTCTTCCGACACTTGTTGTGGATTTTATATTTAGGAAGATTGTTGTAGTATTTTTTGCTTGAGTACAGTTATTTCTTATGACTTTGGTTAGTGTAAGCTTGTCAAATATTAAGCCACAGACTCATCAACACATAGTTACACAAAGTAGGATACAGAGTTGCCACGTCTTTTTCTAACGAAATCTCCTTACTTCAATTTCTTGCAATTTTATTGACTTCGAAGTATATTGTAAGCACTGGAAAGACTTTCTTTTATCCCCTTTCAAGCGTCAGGGCACCGGGATACCTTAACAAGTAAAGTCCCATCACGAGATAGTTCTCCTCTCCTGTCTACTCGGTAGAAAAGACACTTGGCACACGGTAGAGTACTAATGGAAACTATCAGCTTTGTGGCAGTTGGACCAACAAGAGTTTGTCGTCAAAGCTGGTGGCCCGAGAAAAGCTGTGCAGATGGGCAATTGGCGAAATTCGGCGAGCGGAAGTTCAATAAAGTTTAACTTTAATTGTCGTTCGGCCGCAATATCCCAGTAGTTGGCAGTTCGGAGACGAAGGCTCACCAGCCTCCAAATATACGAAATTTTATAAATGCGGTCGCCCTTCGGCAGGGCATATAAAGCCCTCCGAGTGTATTTCTCACATGAAAATTAGAACTCCTCAAAAAAACTTCATCGACCGTTCGAAGACGGATCAGAAAAAAATTTAGGAAGCGTCGCCGGTCACTGGATGCTCGAGTTGGTGGGAAAAACGGCAGCGATGCCATACAGTTGGATCTGTACGGAATACGTGCGATCGATAGACTTACCTTTGATTCAGAAATATTTCGTAGAAGCTACAATTATCCATATGGATTATTGGAAAGTCTAAACAAAGGTGGAGTGAAATATAGTGACTATCTCGACTGCCCACCATTTACCTTGCTCCTGCTGGAACTCCTGAAGATACCTGCCAAAGCCAAGTAGAACCGTTCGCCAGACTCATGAGAAGGGTTTCGACTTTACGAACTCTATTCAGCAATTCGATAAACGGTTGAGATGACATACTGAACACGCCCCAAGCGGACAAAGGGTTCAAGAACTTACCCACGGAAAGGCATGCCAATCGTATGTGGTGACCAAAAACCAATACTTCCGGATCTTTATGCTATTGCGACCCTCTAATTCTCTCAATATTCGCAAAAATGCAATTTGCAGTTATAACAACAACAAGGTGTTGCTTTTTTGCCTTGAGTCGTTCTCTCAGGCTTCCTTGTACGCCCTGCAGCCCTATCGACTGCTTCGCATCATCTAAAAATACTTTCTGTCGTAATCACTTTGATATTGTGGCTTTAACTGCCGTTCGGCAATCAATTTAGTATTTCCTATGGGCCGTATGAATATTGCAGAGAATTCTCCTGATCTTTAGTCTTTTCACATAATTATTTGTTTAAATATTCAACAAATTATCTTTCATGCCACTTCTGAATATTTTTCTTTTGCTTTACTATAATCAATTTGTCAGCAAATTATATCAGCTGACAGATATTGGCTATTGTGAACAACAGTAATGGGCAGGATTCACAATAAATGTATTGCACGACGGATAGTCATCATTATACCAAGATTCATGAAAAACTAAATGAAGCCAGCAACTAATAACAATAAGAACAAATTTTCTTCTTTTTTTCAATAATACACAAAATCTTTATTTGTTTTTCTCTCTCTCTACATGAAATGCATAGTTTTACAAAATTACAATAAATAGTTTTTTTACATCAGTAATAACGTTTTAAATTATATATATGTTTATATAAATACCATAAAAAGTAAGTACCGTACGATTCAGCTATTTGAATAATTTGCAAATATTTTTGGCTGTAAACTTAAGTTAAAAGACTAGAAAAAAATATTATCAAAAAGATTTATTTTTAAGCAATACGCCTAAAAGTAGGCTACATGATAAAATACCATACTTTTAAGCATGCGAATGTACCGATGTAAGAATAATACTTTAATTTATAACGGCATACTTTTAGGATGTTAAGAAATTTTTCCGGTTAGTTTTAGATTTGCTCAATAGGATATGTTGGTGCTACATAAGTTTTGTTCAAATGGCATAATTTTTATCAATTTAAATATAGAAATAAATAAAAAAAAAAGCATAAAAAACCTAAAAAAAAATTTATTAAAGTATAATAAAAACCAATAAAAAAAAAATACCTAATTAAAACATAAAGAATAAAAAAATAAAATTTTAGTTTAAAAAAAGCTAAAAAATACTTTAAAGGCTTTAAGCTTCCATTTTCTCAGTTTTTGTTGCTTCTGTAGCGAAACTATTACCCATTAAAGGACGTCCAGAATGTAGTAAATTATAGAAAGCGCCTTCCCTGCGCTGCTGCAATACATCCGGCGTGTCGTCCTCGATAATGCGACCCTGCTCGAGTACAATAATACGATCATAGTCGAGTATTGTGGAGAGACGATGCTGCATTGATGATGAAAATTAGGCAATAAAAAAATGCAATTGTAGTAAATAAAATAAACTATTCCAACACACCGCAATTGTTATGATCGTGCGCCCACGAAACGAGTTATGTGCCGCCGTGAGTAACGCTTGCTCCGCTGCGGTATCCAATGAACTGGTCGCCTCATCGAGTATCAAACAAACCGAGCCGCGCAGCAGTATGCGTGCCAAGCAAACCAGTTGACGTTGACCGGCGCTCAGTTGTACGCCGCCATCACCCACAATGGTATCTATTGAGATTTTATTCAGACTTGAAATAAAATATTTTTTTTTTTTTAATTTCTTTTACCCACCAATGCCATCCGGCAGCTGATTGACAAAACTCGTCAGTCCCACCTTCTCCAATGCATCCCACAGCTCGGAGATTGCATAATAAGAGGTTGGATTAAGATTTTCTCTTATGCTCAAATTGAAGATATGCACATCTTGTGGTATCATCGAGACACGCATACGCACCTCATCCGGATGAATTTTCGTTATGTCCACGTCGTCTATGCAAATACGTCCGCTAGTTGTTTGCAGCACACCCAGCAAGGACATGGCTAAGGAGGACTTGCCGCTGCCTGTGCGTCCGCAAATGCCGATCTGAGGAAAAGAGCGTTAGTTTGAGGTGGAAATAGAACAGTCCAAAGGAAAGTGTATAATGTGATTCTATCTTCTCTTTCAAACAAAATTTTAGTGCGAAACCGGCAAAATCCCAAACCCAAAAGCAATCCGACGGAAGAAATAGACCACTTTGTGTGAGAATAGGAGAGTCTGTCTGTCTTGTCAGCTCTTCATCTAGAAATAAGCAACCATCTGACGGAGTGGAGCCTTCACAATAGCTAATGTCACGGACAACGAACGACCCGAAGGAGTTTAAGCAGATTTAAAACAGGTGTGTCCACACGGCGATCTCCACCGCTCTGGATGCCAACCGCAGCTCGTCAGCTTCGACAGTCACCCAGGTGGCTGCTGTTTAGACAACAGACATTGTCCTGGATGATATAGATAAAATTATATGAGACCTGCTGGAAATCGCCTCTTGAAATATCACGAGTTTTTTCCTCCTTCCGGGTGTGACGGTAACCGACAGCTGGTGTATGAGCTTTGACTATAGAGTGACTGATTATAGGGTAAAGTCGTAGAGGTCTATGCATGGTGCAGAAGCCAGCCTGTGCACTCAACCTAACCTAACTTTCTTTAAATTTTCGAACCAATGAGTTTACAATTTATCAAAAAAAAACACCATAAAATCAGTACTTACCTTTTGTCCGTAGGGAACTTTGAGAGTTAAGTTCTTAATCACTTCATCTCGCTGCCCCTCATAACGCAGACTAACATTTTCAAAACTAATATCGCCCTGACGTGGCCACGAAATCGGTACCGTTTCATCTGTGATAAAGGAAAATAAATTGAAAAATGAAAAACCCATACAGAAATGCATTGCATTGCATTACAAAATAATAGCTTGTTAAATGTACATATTTTATAATGTAAACAAAATATTTTAATTTATTTTTTCTAACGCGTGAAATGTTTTTGTGCCACTTGATTTATGAGTGGAGGAAATGCCAAAATAACTGCGATTTCATTTAATGCTAGAAATATATATGATATATATGCAACATATACATATATATATATATATATAGATTTTTAAAAGCATATATATGTAACATACGTATGGCAATACATATACATCCATGTATTAATGCATATTCATCATGGCGAAAAAAACAGCTCGCTCATGATTTATAGTTACGTCAGTGCTTGTCAAACTGTTAGTATAGCAATAATAATGCTATAAATCACAACAAATATTGTAACTTTTTATATTGGCGTTACTTATTTAATGTAAATAAATGAGGCAAAACAATTACACAAATTTAAAAATTCAATACTAATTCTGAACCCGAGCAGATTGGAATGATTCTTAACATAATTTGATAGGCTAAATCCGTATATTTAATCCGGTTGGCAATATAGTTTTTTGTCACCGAGTTTTCATGTGTAGTGGCAGCGTCGTGCTTTCATAACGGCTGTCAAATAATGGCAAGTCATTTTAAGTGCATCTAAAACGTGTTATTTGCGATTAAAAAATAACAAAAAATGCAAAAACAAAAGTGCATCTATCTAGAGACTATCGAAAACACTAATAACTACGAGTATGTCAGTCTAGAAATCTTATGTGGAATCATTTTGGCCACTTTGGCCATTCGACAATACGAAAGCGAGCAGCACATACGCCGCTATGTATGAGTTTGGTATATCTGGAAAACTTTTACGGCTGTCTAAGCTGACGTTTAGCAGCACAAACATAATTGTCATAATCGGGAAGGATACCAAACGAGACCAAACTTATCGTGTGACTTTTTAAATTTATTGCCTAAGAAAATAATATGAGATGCAGTGCTAAATAGAGAAGGTATAATCTTCTATAAGAGTGTTCAGCTGCTGGCGTACGCCAAAGAAAATGGCCCACAGTCGCGACTTACTACTTACTACTCACTGGATAAAGAAGCAAGATCATATGGGCCTAGTAGTGAATGAGGTTAAGACAAAATATCTTCTGTCATCTAACAAACAGTTATCGTATTCGCGACTCGGCTCCGTCGTCACTCTTGTGTGTCATCAGTTTCTAGATAGTATTACATAATTTCTTTTGTATAGAAACAACCAACTGGAAATTCAACGCAGAATAACTCCTGCCAATAGGTGTTATTTTGAACTCAGTAGGCAATTGAGAAGGCAAGTACACTCTCAGCGTAGAAAAATAAAAACACATTTAAAAAATGTTAAGTTAGACTTAGAGAGCTACAAGGGGCAACTTAGAAGTATCTACTGTTGGCCTTAGCTCAAAAATTTCTCGGATTTTGTCACACAGTCAACTTATTGACTCCGAATTTTGAGAAAATCATTAACGAGTTTTTTGGAAAATTCTGGAAAGTTTAGAGCTAGTTTGTCTCCAGAGGTATATCTTCTGCGCTTCCACCGCGATTTTTACGCCAAAAAACTTACGAGCGACGAACAAGGAAAGCGGCTGTACTAAAATCTAGCCATCATCGAATGACGCGACACAAAAGACTCAGTTCCTTTCATCTCTGATTTGCTACTTGTAACTTAATAAAAAGAGCATTAGTTGTCAGAAATTATAAAAATATAGTTATGGACTATATCAAAAACTAAAATCAACCTTAAGAAACTGAGTTAAAATTCAGTTTTAGCGTCATAAATTGGCCTAGGACCCAAACCGTGTATACTTGTGCATTACAAACTTTTAATTAAAATAATAAATTAATTTCACTTCTCACACACACACTTACAATTGCTCATCACCAACGGCACTGAGAGGCTTCTCGGCTTGCAAAATTCCACACGCGCCACCTCAAAATTAACACTAATATCCTTCATTGTTTTGCTCGCCGCTTTTCTTGCCTTGCTATTTTTGACATTTGCCGACGCGTCCTCATCACACGCAATATCCAATGGTGTCTCAACATTTGCATCTATTTCCGCATAGTATGCTATACGCTCGACCGAACCCACATACATTTCCATGTCGGCTAATAATTTCACAACCCAATTCAAATAGATCGGCATGAGTAGTGTGTAATTGATGGCTAAGCCGACGAGTGAGGGTGTCGGTGTTAAGTACTCGGGTATATTGCTATTGCTTTTATTGTTGTACCGATTGCAACTAATTGTTGCCGCTATGAGTGCGGTTATGATGGCTATGAAAACGATGAAGCCGCCAAGGAAGTCCTGTGAATGAGAGAGAATGAAAAAAATATATATATTTAAAAATTATACAAGTAAATAAGAGGTGTGCGCGTAAAATATGGTGAATTTTCAGTATTGTAGCATTCTGAAGGCTAAGATTTGAGTCCTGGTTTGATCTGCTCAGGAAGTAGTAGTAGGCTTACAACTGGCATTTCTTATGTTTTATATACTCAAAGGAAATTTGAATTTCATAATTACCAGCGATATGCCCAACCAACGATTACTCGTATTCAATATCGTGAATGCAATTGTATTTGCCTCCAGACGTTTAAAGAGTATTTCGGTGAAACGTGCTTCCTGATTGTATGCTCTTATCGTCGTTACACCCTGTATAGTCTCAGAGAGATGAGAGATCACGGGAGAGCTAGTGGAATTTTCAATGCGTTGAAGTTCTCTGTAGAAACAAAAACGAAAAATAATTTTTAAAATTTGAAAATAAAAAAATATATTAAAAATTAAAAAAAAAATATTTTTGTAAATATTTATATCATATTTTTTTTTTAACCAACCTCGCCGAACATCTATAGAATTTCTGTATACCGTAGTATATAAAGCATATGGGCGCTGTAAGCAATATAAACCAAGGTGTAATGCTGACATTGATGAGCACCGCACAGAGACAAAGCAGAGAGAATTGTAACAGACGTTGGCTGGTGGCGGCGATTTTCTGTGAGAAAAAAAACGAATTGAGAAAAAAAATAAAATAATAATAATAATTAATAATTAGAGACTTAATTTGAATAAATGGTTGAAATAAAAAATTAGTATAAAAAGATGAAATAAGAAAAATATTAACAAAAGATAAATTGAGACTTTGATATTATAAAAGGTTGAAATAAAGAAATAAAAATACGAGATAAAATTTTTATAAATTGGCGCTTAAATAGTGTGAAATTATGAATTAAAAAAATTTTATTAATTGAGACTTAATTAGAATAAAATGTTTAAAAAAAAAATAAATATATAAGATACAATTTTTATACATTGGCACTTAATTAGTACAAAAGGTTTAAATCAAAAATAAATTAAAAAAAGATATTATTAAATTGACACTCAATTAGTATAAAGGTAAAAATAAAAAATTAATTTAGAGAAAACTATTATTAAATTGAGATTTAATTAGTATAAAATATTGAAAAATTTTTAATAAATTAAGAATAAAGGTAAAAATAGATAGTAAATTAAGAGAAATATTATTAAATTGAGACATAATTACTATAAAGTTAAAAAAAATAAAAATTAAAAAAAGATATTATTAAATTGACACTCAATTAGTATAAAGGTAAAAATAAAAAATTAATTTAGAGAAATATTATTAAATTGAGACTTAATTACTATAAAGGTAAAAAAAATAAATTAAGAAAACTATTATTAAATTGAGATTTAATTAGTATAAAATATTGAAAAATTTTTAATAAATTAAGAATAAAGGTAAAAATAGATAGTAAATTAAGAGAAATATTATTAAATTGAGACATAATTACTATAAAGTTAAAAAAAATAAAAATTAAAAAAAGATATTATTAAATTGACACTTAATTAGTATAAAGGTTAAAATAAAAAATATATTAAGAAAACTATCATTAAATTGAGATTTAATTAGTAAAAAAAAAATTAAAAAAATATTGATAAATTAAGAGTAAATAAAAAAAAATATTAATAAATTAAGAGTTAGTAAAAAAACTGAAATAAAAATTAAATTAAAATATATAAATTTTATTAAATTGAGACTTAATTAGTAAAAATAGCTAGTTGAGACTAAATTAGACATAGAAAGTGTTAAAAATCCGTATTTTTTTAATTTTCTTTATTCCAACTCTCCGCTCTTTTATTATTTTCATGCCACAAATTCCCCTCACTACCTTCCTTACCTTATCGATGATGGCCATATCGTTGCCGAATCGATTCATCAGTCGTCCAAGTGGTGTCACTTGGAAAAAATGTAACGGTTTGCGCATAATCGCCAACAGCAATTGGTCGTGAAGATTGCTACGCGCATTGCAGCCGGCCAATTGACCGGCTGGTGTCGATATCAGCGCCATGGCAATGCAAACGCACGAAATCGCCGAATAAATGTGAAAATAATACGTGACATTCTCGGCATGACCATCCTTGTCGCCAGCGTTGATGGTATTGTTGTACATTTGGCTGTTGTTGTTGAAACCTGAGTGGTTGACGGCTGCCTGCTCTGTTGCTTCGAATGTTGCTTCTGTTGCATTACCAATCATTTTATCGAAACGAAATCTATTAAATGCCGGCGGCGACATACTATCAACTCGTTTCCCACTGTCGTTGCCATTACCTGTGCTGTCATCGGTCCAGTGTTGCAGCCACACGTCCGTATAGACGCGCATGCCTTGCCAAATCAATGCCGTCAAAAAGAATATCGTCACCATGCGCCAGCCGGATGCACGTAGGTACAACAAATAGATGTGTGTCGGTATCTTGCCGTACTTTCGTTCGCCGTCATAGCCAGGCGACGTGTTACTGGCAGCAACACCACGACCTGCTGATCTCTTCATGCTGCCCCTGCTGCGTTTTATTGTGTGTCTGAGTTGTGCTGTTGCTGGGGCATTGGAATTATTGTTGTTGTTTAATGGCGTACTTGTCATGTTGGTCAATGTTTTATAGTCGATGTTTGCATCTGTGCGGTGAGAAATACATATAATCTCAATGTTAACTGTTCTTTTATAGCCGAATAATAAATCGGTTTATGTGCATTGGGGATAAGAAATTTATATAAATTTCCATTAGGTGGCACATGAAGTCATGTACAGAAATTCGGCAGACTCTCACTATCTGAGGGCTGGGGCGGATTACCAAGAAAAACATTCATTGTATAACATTCTTTAACGAGGAAGCGTAATTTAGCGGAAGGCCCCACTTTTGGGGAAAGAAGGAAAGATATTGGCCGATATGGATCTGCTTTGTTGGCAGGTTTCCACGATTTTGGCAGCCGGACCACTCAAACTAGTCTGCACATATTGAGTATTAACAGAGTGCTCAAACACAAGTAAATGATCTTGGTGAGTAATTCTGCTATCGCCAGACGCAGGTATTTTGCCTTACCGATAACCCACTGAAACCCCTTTCTTCTAGAAATCAAGCGCCACGCTGATGTGTCGGCGACGGTGGCTCACTTGTCATTTGGCTTTGTCACCCGTAGCATGACGAGGCGCGATCACCGTATGAAATTCCCACCCTGTCGTCACGTCTCATCAAGTTTGAACAAGATTTGACAGCCGCCCAACGCTTAATTGTGTCTGAAGAATTGTTGCAGGACTTTAAGTGTTCCTTCCATTTAAATTGGTTAACCATTTGCCGAGTCTCCAAGGTGAGTTTCCTTATTAGAGGATCTTTGGGATTGGCTTGGTGAAGGCTCACCTCGTTAATATTTAGCTAAGCTTAAAGTTTAACAGCATCGCTACGCAAGAGCTGTCTAAGGAAGAACTCCAAGACGAGGGCGATTATTGCGGCCCGAGTCCGGTTTTCGATAACGACCACGGCAAGCGTAGGTACTGCGATTTTGGGACACGCACCTGGAACCTCCGACCTCATAGTTGGAAAGGTAGCAATATGGGCCCAATATGGGCTAAACGGTTTTTTCAAAGTGCTTCGGTAGGTTGAGAGCTACAAAATCACCGCTAATTTGCTCCTTCGCACTTACACATAATTCCTCCTTTCAGTTTCTCACCTGTAGCCTCTTCATTTTCAATATGAATAATCCAACTATCCACCTCCGTAATGGGTGCGTCCTTCTGGTCTTCATCAACCTCTGGCGTAGCTACGGTACTCAGCTCGATTGAGGGCACGGAACTAGAGATTGTCGTGAATTGCTTTGTTGGAGCCTCTTCGGTGATGCTTCTAAACAAGAAATGTTTATCTCACATGAATTAAAGAAAGGAAAAAATTTCAATGAATATCTCCGCCTACTTTATGGAATTCGTGCTACTCAAAGGCCGTTGTTTACGTTGCGCTGCAGTACGTCTCATTGACATGCGACGTAAAAACTGCTGAAAGCTATTACCTCCTCCACCGCTGGAAGCCGTGTCATCAGCATTTTTGGACTGCTTTTGTGTACTATGCACCAGACAACCAGGTGATGATTTGTTACGCGCAACTTTTTGATGTGCACCAACAACGCCGCCACCAGCCTCGACATCTTCGCCACACGCAGCGCTCTTGGGTTGCCACGACTGTGTACGTTTTGGCGCCTCTTCAGTGGTTCCGACAAAGCCGGTGTCAGCCGATAGCAAGCTGCTGCCACTAATACCACTCAAATAACTCGGTGCACTGCTGTCAATACTGTTTGTGAAAATACTGCGTCGTATCTCCGCTGATGCTGTTGTAGACGTACTCGCTGCACTCAAACGGCTGCTGCCGGTCGAGATGAGTGAACCGGGACGTGCTTGATCTTGTGCGGTATCGCGACGTTGTCGTTGTGAGCGTCGTCGTCGGCGTAAGATTACATCTTCCATTTGGCATTCGTCGATGGGTAGCGGTGCGTCGTAGAAAAGATGACGTGATCCGTAGTGACTCGAACGTTGGCGTGTCAGCGGCATATGTCCGCCTATAACGCCGTTTGTGGATTTGTTGTTTACGCTGCCAATGCGGTTCAAATACAAACTACCGCTGCGACAGCGACTAATTGATGGCAGCTGCTGCTGGACAAGAACAAAAATAGCATGATATACATATAACATAGATTTGTCTTTTTCGACTTTTATATTATTTCGTTCTATTCCTTTCCTTTATTATCTTTATTTTTAAACGTCTTTTACTTTAATTTTTTTGATTTCATTTTATTTTATTTTATTTTATTTTATTTTATTTTATTTTATTTTATTTTATTTTATTTTATTTTATTTTATTTTATTTTATTTTTATTTTCTTCCTTTCATTTTATATTTTTCCTCGCCTACCGAATAAATGCATTAAATTTAATTAAAAACTAATTTGCATGAATTCAAATTTGAAAGCAAACAAAACAACAAATATTTCTCTGCGTACGTGAGCACTCAACTATAAAATAATTACTCTTAATAACTTATAAACTCACCACAGGCAACAAATCTTCCTCTTCATCGCCATCGTCTACCAACTCGTCATCTCCCTCCTCCTCCTCCCCCGCCTCCTCTTCCTCTTCCTCCATAGCATCAACTTCGTCCGGCTCTACGCCATTGTCGTCATCACTCACACCCACACCAGCAACAGCAGCAGCCTCTGTTGCCTTATCATAGTCAGCAATTGCCTGTAGACCAACTTCATGACTCGGCAAGGCAACAATTGTATCACCGCTGAAGCACACATCACCACCTACACCAGCGTCTAAATTCAAAACAATTTCGCGTGATTCTCTGCGTATTGCTTTTGTTTTTACCGTTCCTCTTGCTTTGGGTGCTTTTTGTGTTTTTGTTGGCACAACTTTGCTGGACTTTGTACGCTGCAGGCCCAATTTCGTTACATTCTGGTACAATTTCCAGCGTTCGCGCGCTGTCCTGCCAGCAGCAGCGGAGGCACTACTACACGTACGTATGTTAATGGGTAGGGTGTAGGTACGCCGAAAATTATGCAAAGAAAACAAGAAGTGTAGTGAAGCTGATGTTGACGAGCTGGAAATTCATCATCATCGAAAATTCACTTTGTACAAGAGATAGAATTTTGTCATGCTGCTTTCAAGAGCGTGGGGGTTATGAGTATGTATGTGTGCATGAAGAATAAACATACTTACATATATGTTTGTTATTTTGTAGCGAAGTTACTTTAAAACTATTCCAATACAAACGTAAATTACATTTTTTTATATGCATATTTTTCTTCTTTTTTTTGTCATGCGGTAAATTTAATCAAAACACCGTTATTTCCTACTCAACACTAATGTATTCCGTGCCCGGGCTGACAAATTACTTTTCAAAAAATGCCACACAAATTTTTTTATATACATATATACTACATACTTACATACAACACACAACTGCATATATGTACATTGCTCACCTTTCTTCCTCTGCCATTCGCTCGTTCAGTTTGGCAATTATTGCTTGCCATTTGGCCACAATATGCGGATATTTCAATTCGATTTCCTTATAATCGCCTGTGGCCTGCAATTGGCCATTCTTCATGACAATTAGCTGTGTGTGCATTGTTGTTATTGTTGTTGTTGTTGTTGTTGTTGTTGTTTGGACATTTGAACATTTGGTTGACAGCCAGAGAGCCGCACAAGCAGCAGGCAGCAGGCAGCAGTCAACACAATCCGAAAGCAAATTGAAGTAGTGACCACAAAATGTCGGAAAATCCATTTAATTTAATTTGATTATCAGTTGGTTGGGAAGAATGTGGGAGAAGAGAAAAAAGAAGACGAGAATGTAGATTAAGAAATGCTTTTTTGTTCTTTTTTATTAGTAAATATGTACAATTGTAAGGATATGAAATATTTTAATGAAATTTAAAGAAGGGAAGAGAGAACCTCGTGTAAGGTTAGCTCAGCGTCAGCTGAAAATAAGTTAGGTTATGTTAGGAGTAAGTGATGTATCCCAAAAGAACCTCGCATAGAGACATAAGAACATCCATTTTGATACCACAAAGAGTACGCTAGACTACTTTTCATTTACTGAGTCATACCGCACACCTCACAAATCTTCAAAAATTATATTTCCCAGCCCATTCGAGTTGGTACAGGAGAGCGGTCTTAGAATTTTTACACAATACCTGCCCAGAACTGCCATATCATGGATAGAAAGAGCTTCCCTGAAGAGCCACCATTCAACTTTTAGGCAGAAGGATCTCATAAGCTCACATATTAGGGTGATAGGCCAAAGCTCCCTGAATTGGCTCAGTTTTGGTAGTTGACACAAAAGAGCCCGTTTGCAATCCATCTTTTCTATCAATGCCCGGTTAGACCTCGAATTACGTGCGATGGTTTTGATCCTGTGATCCGCGATGCATATGAATTTAATTATATAATAAGACCAACGTACAGGCAAAAATACAAGAATTTCTACTCAATCACGGAGCTCAAATGAATGAGTGCTTTGCCTTAATAGCCGAGTCTGAACCTTCCGCCGCTGAAGAAAGTCTCTCATGCTGACTTTCCCGTTAAGTTTTGACCCGTCCGTGCAGAATTTAAGCCCTTTTTACCTCCAATGATGATGAAATCGTGTTTTTCCTGAGCAGTGGGAGCATCCAAGGCCTTCCTTCTTACATAACCACAAGCAGCATTGCCCACCTGGGAGCATAGAATTTATTAGGGGCCGTCTACTTCATCTAAAATTTCTAAAGGTCAAAGTTTGGTTCTCCCTACCAACTCTGCAAGATTTCTGAAGTCAATGACTAGATTATATCAAGGGACATAAGAGATCAGTGATTTTGGATTTTCTAACATTGAATATTTAATACTTTGGACCTAAGAACATATTTCAAGTGCATGGAACAGTCGCTCAGGATATCACTTCAGTAGAGTAAGGTGAAAATGTCCGCACCTAAATTCACGGCAATCTCGCTACTGCACATACTGATATGTCAACAGCATTTCCGTCGTCACCCAAAACTTTGGTCGGGCGATAACAGAGAAGGGACTTTCGGTTATGAGCGGGTTTCCAAAGCCACTGTATAGCAATCTGCAAAGACAATTGTTTCGCTTTGCTTTTCTTAGTAAGATCGAAATGGTGTTGCTCATTCACCACGAAATTTACGAGAAGAAGAGCTCCACATAACACATGAGAAGCCTGTGAGCTCGCAGTACGTTTCGACATTACCCTGCCGTTCGAAACCAAAAAGTGGATAAAACTTTGCTTACCCTAAATGCTTCGAGTGTACAATGGAGGAGTTTCATCTTTTTCAACGCTTCGCAAAATTCAAAGAGCTCAACCCGTTGATTTGGAGTCCTCAGGAATAACTGGATTGTTGAAAAGGGTAGAAGGTTTTATGCGAAGATGTTGCGGTGTGAATTGCCCATCCAAATTCTTTTCATTCATATTTACAATATGAGTTAAATTGGAAGTAAGTTGGGCTTTGGTCAACGACCTGGCATTACAGGCTCAAGGATTGCAAGCCTTTTTGCATGACAGTGACACGGTCTTCCGAAGAACTTGTGTTGCGCAGCTTTTGAAGCCGAACAGTGGCAGAGATAACGTTCAACAGACTTTTTCTCTCCTAAGTCCCTACAACTTTTTCATAAATAATTACAACAAAAATCCGCTCTTTCCTATGAAATACCACTCAACAGTGTCTTCTTGTTTTACTTGTCGTTATACAGATGGCGCGGCAATCTAGAAGAATTACTTTCCTCAATCTGACAATTTATCTATCTGCTCCTTCAATAATCGAGTGTTTGTGGTAATGGAATGTTGCTCTCCTTTGCAGCGTTGCCGTTATCAACAGTAGAGTTAAATCTCCTGCTTGAGGTTTGCGTCTAGTATTTTATATCTGGCGCTAGAGGCGCTATCCATCTCAGAGAAAATAATTCTGCCTCTCAGGGGAAAGACACCACAAGTTTCACTAAAGGCTGCTCGAGAACTATTTCTTAACTCATTGTTAGTTGGGTGAGTTGGAAGCATTTCTCCATGAAGGCATTTGCTCTCCACTTTTTTACGGCTTTTTTTGTCTTTTGCCTTTTATTTTATATATTCCCCACTATGCACTTATGTATGTATGTAAAATTCTGACGTTAAATTTGTAACGGTTTTATTATTTTCATGTGTCAAATATTCTTATTTTAATTTTTTTTTAATTTTTTTTTCATTTAAGCCAATTATTTTTGATAAGGGATTTTTTTCGCTGCGTGTTGGACCTTTTTCGAATTTATCGCCTCACACACACATACTCGTAATTCTATATTTATTTTATATTAAAAATTCACCTTTCCCTAGCTTTTTTTTATTAGTTCTTATTATGTCTTTTTTATTATTCATTTTTAATTTATTTCCACTTACATAATCCGCTTGCTCTGTCAGCTGCAACTGTTGTGTCACCAATATGACAGTCCGTTTCGCCTTGAGCAACATACGCTGCACACTTTGTTCGAAAATGTGACGTGCCACCTCATTGTCCAGCGAAGAGAACGGATCGTCCTTCGAATTGTTCGGAGGAAAAAATAGTAATAAAAAATAAATAAAAATAAAAATAAAGACAAAAATTAAATTTTTTCTAGTAAATAGTGAAAAATATAATAAAATTAGTAATAGAAGGTGTGTAAGTAGTAGTTTCTGATACAAATACATATAAATATATATACAGCATTTACACATATATATATAATTGACAACTACATTGTAAAATTGCATATATGTGCGTGTGTGTACGTGCAGCTTGTCATCATCTTCAATATATTTTATGTCTTGTTGGCAATGAATGGAACACATGCTGATTGCGCACAACCATTTTCATCGGAATCAAAGCATAAAAATAAAGTTTTTAGATTTTTCGTCAATAACGTAGATGCCAATACATATACATACGTCTGTTATGCACAGATTTACAACCCATATTGTCAGCAAAGTGGATTTAGACGATTTACTAACTTGAAAAGTTTTTAAAATTTTTTTATTATCTTGCATAACACTACCTTTACTCGTATATATGTATGCATAAAAACTCGTTTGTTCGATTTAAAGACCTTGTTTTTCAGTTATGACATACATATTTATCACCTTGTTTTCCAATTTTATGTTAATGTCATATTGATTAGAAAAAATACATATATGCTGAGCTTAATGATGACAACATTTCACCAACATAAATTAATGATTTTAATGAAAAAATTATTTTTTTATCAAATTCTATGTTATAAGATTTTAATAAAAAATAATTTTTACAAAGAAAAAAAAATAAAAAATAAAAAAAAAATTTATAATAACAATATATAATATCTAGTAAAAAAAAAATGCTTTTTTATTAAATTCTATGTTACAAGATTTTAATAAAAAATAATTTTTACAAAGAAAAAAAAATATAAATTAAAAAAAAAATTATAATAACAATATATAATATCTAGTAATAAAAAGCAATAGATTGAAAAAAAAATTCTGAAAGAAAGGCACATAAAAAAGAAATTTGTTATTATTATTTTTGAAAAAAAAAAATTCAATAAAAAAGTGTGTTGGCAAAAAATGTATGCTCATAAAAAAAATTAAATTTAAATAAAATCTAATAATGAATATATTAACATTTATTTAAAAAAAAAATTATATTTCAATAAAAAAACAAAATTTAAAGAAATTTAATAAATAAAATGCTAACAATAGTTTTTGAAAAAAATAAATTTCAATTTAACCTAAAAATAAATATTTTAAAATTTATTTAAAAAAAAGTAAATTTCAATAAAAAAATCAAAATTTAAATAAATTTAATAAATAAAATGCTTATAAAAGTTTTTGAAAAAAATAAATTTCAATTTAACCTAAAAATAAATATATTAACATTTATTTAAAAACAAAGTAAATTTCAATAAAAAAATCAAAATTTAAAAAAATTCAGTAATAAAAATGCTTTCGACAGTTTTTGAAAAAAAAAAAAGAAAAAAATTCTGAAAGAAATGCGTTTAGAAAATAATAAGTTTTACTTTTAAAAAATATTTATTTGTGAGAAAAAAATTAGTAAAAGAATATGTTGATAAAAAAAAATGTATGCTCATAAAAAATAAAAATCAATAACAGAAATGTAAGCAATTATTGTTAAAAAGAGAACATAGACTTAATTAAAAAACTATTTTTGACAAAAAATGTATGCACATAAAGAGCAGAATTTAAATGAAATTTTCCAAAAAAAAATTTACTTTTTTTTTTTTTCAAATATAAAACCCCAAAAAAATTCGAATATCTTCTTAAAATAAATTAATCAGCTTTTTCCCCTCATCACTAATCCATATATACACCACATACTCATCATTAAAAGCAAATTGCCCACAATCCAATTCAAACCGTCCACCTGTATGATCTGTATTATTTTCACAACAAACCCCACCACAGCATTAACCGTTTATATGTTAAGTAATTTCTTTTTTTTTTTTGCACTTCGGAGCTTTCATTTTTGTTTCACGCTTACATAGCTACTCACCATTATCACCACATTGGCCGATGAGTAGAGTGCTCGCGCAATGGCTATACGCTGTCGCTGACCTCCCGACAAATTAATGCCACGCTCACCAATCACCGTAAAATCCGCATCCGGCATCAGTTCAATATCCGGTTTTAATGCACACGCCTCCAATACGAAATCATAACGCCGCGGACGAAAGGATTCGCCAAATAAAATATTCTCACGTATATTAGCGTTGAGTAGCCAAGGTTGCTGGGGTACAAAGGCGATGGTGGATGTTCTGGAGAAATATATTTATAAATTATATGATTTGCATTTTGAATAAAATAGAGTTAAATTCATTAAATTTAATTAAAATAACTTCAATTTAATAAAATTAATTTAAAACAAAATTAAATAATAAACTAAAATAAAATAAAATAAAATAAAATAAAATAAAATAAAATAAAATAAAATAAAATAAAATAAAATAATATAAAATAAAATAAAATAAAAAAATAATATAAAAAAATAAAATTAAATAAAAACAAACAAAATAAGTAAATATAAATAACATGAAAATTAAAAAGAAAATATGTATTTATAATCAATTAAAAATAAAAAAGCGAAAAATATTTAAACAAACTTGAAAATTTATTTCACTAAGTTTAATTAAAATAGTAAATTAAGTTCCAGCTAATAAAAATTAAATAAAAGTGAAAAATTATATCAAATCAAATGGGATGAAGTTAAAAATTAATTTATTTAAAAATATTAATTAAAATAAGATTTTTAAATGAGGTAAATCTAATAAAAAGAAAACAAAACGAAATAAAAATAGATATATAATATAATGATTAATTTAATTAAAATAAATAAAAATAATATGTACCCAAATAAATAAATTTATTTATAACAATTAAATTAAATTAAATTTGATAAAATAATAAAATAAATAAATAAATAACTAAATAAAATAAAAACATTTCACTTATGTTAAAATTAATAGAACAAAAATATTTAATGAAAATAAGCTAATTTAGGCATGACCAAATTGAATTAAAAAAAATTAAATAATTATGAAATTATCTAACTAAAATTGAATACAAATTAATTCAATTAATAAAACTAAACTAAGTTAAATTAAGCAGGACAAAATTAAATTCAATGAAAATAAATGAAACAAAATAAAAGTAAAATAATTATAAAATTAATTGATTAATTCATTAATTAAAATTAAAATTAAATTAAAATAGAATAAAATTAAATTGAAGGTAACAAGATGAAAGAAAATAAAATAATCATAAACAAAATAAAAAAAAAGCTTATTAAATTCAATATGAAAAATATTTTATTTAAATTCATACGCATAACTAAGCCCTTTAGAGTAATAAAATTCAAAAACAAAGTAGGTTTATCGAAATAATGGCTTAAAATAATTGCAATTTTGCATAAAGCAGTCTAACAATTTCCATTGAATTTCTTACACTTTAATTAAATTTTCAATTTCTGCACACATTCATTGCCAACTTTGTTAGCCTAACCGTGGTTGAGTTGTAACTGGGTCAGGTTAGCATATATATGTATATAGGTATGTATGCATATGCCACAAACTTGGCCTACACACTGATCGAAACAATCACAAAAGAAACAATATATGTGTCATATGTAATTTCATACACTTGAATATGTCATATGAAACACACACATGCACACTTTATATATTTACATTTATAACCACGTCTACATATGCTTTGTAACACTCATCTAAATGAAATAACCGCCTTAGCTACCACTCACGATCAACTCTCCAACTGGCTAGACAATGAGGCAAATTTTCATTGTATTGTATGTGTCATTTGAATATTATTAGAAAGCTTTGTATTCACTAAATATGTCCATATGTAAGTTCATAGAATGTTTGATGTGTGCTAACAATGCCTGGCACATTCGCATTGTTATGTAAATTTTCTAATAACATTCAATGTTCTGGGGAAAATTCATATTTACTTATGGGTACTCTAACCAATGTGTGTGTATGTATGTGCGTGTATATTTTAAGTGCATATGTGTTAGTAATTGTCTGTGTTCTAATACTATAGGCTTGAAGAATATCAAATCAGTGTGTGTGTGTTTTTACAAATCTTTGAATAAAAAAAAGTATTTCAATTATGTGTATTTGTCTAGTGCAGGTAGTCATGGGCCAACGTGGCGTATGAGTAATGCATAATCATCAAGCAAACAAGTGGATATTTTCCTTTACAGCGACTATACATTTAATTTGCTATAGAAAAAAATACAATAAAATAAATACAAATAAAACGAAGTTGCTGTAAAAAAAATAATCACAATAAAAAAATAAAATGAAATATTTAAGTTGAGAATAAAATTTATTTAAATAAAATAATATGAAAACAAAAAAATTAAATGAAAATAAAATAATATAAATAAAATGAAGAACAATAAAATTCAATTAAATAAAACTACACAAATAAAATTACAGAAAAAATTAAATTAAGTGAAATAAATTAAATTTTAATGAAATTATATTAAAAACATGAAAATTAAATAACTGAACCAGAACTGTATAAAATAAATTAAATTTAGATAAAAAATAAATAATTAAAAATTAACAAGTAAAAAAAAAAACAAAAAACAAACAGAATAAAGTAAAATAAAATTAGTTATGCAATACAATATAGAATAATATAATATTAAATTAAATAAAATAAAAATTAATTTAAATTAAAATGCAAAATAAAATAAAATGATTTAGTATAAAATGAAAAAAGTAAGACTAATAGAAAATAAGTAAAATAATATAAAATATAATAAATAAGAACAAAATAAACATAATTTAAATAAAATAGTATATAAAAATAAAATTAATAAAATTATATTAAATAAAGCTACATTGATAAAATTAAACTAAACATTAAATAAAATTAAATAAATTAAATTCTAATAAAATCAAATTATATATATAACAATTAAATAACTAAACAACAAAAAGTAAATAGAGCAAGCTAAAACAAATTAATTATGATTAAAAAAAAATAAAAAATAAAATAAAAAAGTAGTAATACACAATGAGAATAAAATAGGAATAAACTAAATTAAATAAAAATAGAATTAAATTAATTTAAATTTTAAAAATAGAATAAAATATAAAAATTTAGTACAAAATGAAATAAAGTAAAATAATATAAAATAAAATAAGTAAAGTTAAATAAAATTTAGTTCAAGTAAGTAAACTAAATTTTAATAAGCTAGTTGAAATAAAAAAATATATATATAAAAACGATATTACATAAATCAAGCTAAAATAAATAATTATTAAAATACTTAAAAATAAAATAAAATTTTGCAAAATAAAAGAATTAAAGGAAATAAAACAAAATGAAATAAAATTAAATTAAATTAAATTAAATTAAATAAATTTAAATAAATAAAAAATAAATTAAACTAAAATAATTAAATAAAAATAAATTAAATCAAGTATTGAAATTAAAATTTAATAAAGTAATAACTAAAAACAAAATTTTATAAATTAAGTTCATTTCAATAAATTACTAAATATAAAAAGTAAATAAATAAATAAATATAAAATAAAGTAACACCTCTAATACTGCTAGTAGCCAAAATAAAATGTTGAAAAAAATTTCATTTATACGCGTACAACCAAACGCATCCTGCATTTTTGTACATATTTAAAATTAAAAAAAAAAAACACATTCCTCTCAAACCCTACCAATTAAACTATGCAAAAACTTCTACGAGCATTACGAAGCAATAAATTATCAACTTAGTTCGGTTTTACTTACAACGCTTGCTGTTGCTGTAGCAATGCATTTTACGCGATTTAATTATACTTATGTAAAATATATATATATATATATATATATATGTATGTGTACGCACGGAAGTTGTAAGATGCTTACGTCTGCTAAGTAAAATTTATGTTGTAGTATTTGCAATGAATTCGCCAAAATCGATACTCAATAACAGTTTACAATACATTTTCCCACAAATAAACAAATCAGTGGAAGAGATATGTATACACGGCTACAAAAAAACCATATTAAAGATGTAGTTTTGATTTAAAGTAAGTATATTTATGTAAATGTTATTTAGTTTTGGAAAAAAATGAGCAAAAAAAGATTGAAGCAATTTTTTACCGATTATAAAAGCAAGAAAAACGATTTTTGATCGTTTTGCCTGAAAACCGGTAAGTAGGTAGCTCTGTGCCTAGTTTAATATAAAAAATATCCAAAATTAAAATCTAATGAAATCAAATTAAATATATTAAAATCAAATAACTAAATCAGAGCTATATAAATAAATTAATATTAAAAAAAAAATAGTAATAAGAATTAACAAGTAAAAAAGCAAAAATAAAATAAAAAATGAGAATTAAATAAAAATAAATTAAATTAAATTAAAATAGAATTAAATTAATTTAAATTTAAAAGATATAATATTTAGTATAAAATAAAATAAAGTAAAACTAATAGAAATAAAGCAAAATATTAATAAGTTTAATATAAAAAATATCCAAAATATTCGAAAAGGGGCTTACATATTTTTTCTCCTAAAAGACCTAAGCAAGTGGCCAAGAACTACTTTGCCTTTCTTCGAACTCTATAATCTAGATAAATTCGCAGAGGATCTTCTATAGCAGCACCAATCCCAGAAATGCTACATATCCGATCATTACTACGACTTTTACTATTACTGCTACTAATACCACTACTCGTACTACGTTTATTATTTATATTTTTTAAATAAAATCTTTGAAAATTTTTAAAAATTTCCTTGTTTTTTACAAATCTATTTTATTTTATTTATTTTTGTTACAACAACATAAAATGCATCATAACATAGTGAAGCACTTCTTGCTCTGGCTCTGGCTCGTTACTCATACGCCCTGTTGTACCACAAAAGCACTCAATATTCGTATTAAATATTATTGCTATTATACTTTTTTCTCTTTATTAAATCACATTATCCCATTCCACGTACATAAAGAAGCATACACACACACACACTCACACACACACACACGCACACATGCACATGAATTGACCATACCAAGAGGTTTTCCTATTTGCCCCCAGCTCATACACGTAGCTATGCATATAAGAGCATACGTTTGTATAGATGAAAACGCAATGAAATGCAGCAGTCATTCAACATATTTTTGTACGGCCATTTCCATGCACAGCACGTCATTGTAATTTATAACAAATGTTTGTATGTTAATTTTATTGCATTCCAAATGCAGCAAAAAAAAAATAGTTCAGACACTAAAAATCAGCGCGTCGTGTAGTGAGTAGTATGGATTGAGTGTTGGGAGCAATCGGTAGAGACTAGCAAGGAAAAAAATGCAAGAGGAGCCGATAAAAAGATTATAAAATGTTAAGGAGGAAAGTCAGTAAGTAAATCGTTTGTCGGAAGAGACAGACAGACGGTCAGACAAACGGGCAGTTTGATTGGTGGTGTAAGCTGTGCTTAAACGCCTGTGTTTGTGTGTTTGTGGGCACATGTGTGTAGAAAATGTAAGAAAATATAAATAAAAATTCCAAAAAAAAGTCAAGTGTAGAAAATCAATGTTTATGAGTCTTTGTGAAATGTGCAGCAGCAGCAGCAGCAGCAGCAGCGGCGGTAGAAGTATTATAGCAGCTGATGTGTGCAAATACTCGAAATATAGTTATGGGTAAATGCACACAAGTGTGTCTATAACATATAGATATGGTAGTTTCATGAATTTGTTTCCCCATATATGTATATGTAAGAAAAACTTTTTGTATATATATGTATGCATGCATTTATGAGCGCTCGCATGGTGTGCTATATGAGGCATAACTGCATTTTTATATATACTCTATAGTTGTTTATATGCCTTCTTTGTATGTCTGCATGTCCGATTGGCACTCACGCGTATGCCATAATTTCAATTGCTATTATAAATTGCCACATTGGTGAGAATTTATTATTACATTTGCACATTTACACATACATAGGCACGCGCACGCAAACACATTTATTGCAGTTTCCATATTTTGCACTCCTTTTCTTACTTTTTTTTTTTGCTCTTTTAAATATTTTTTTTTTTAACATTCTAGATGCCCATTTTAGAAAGCGCATTAATGCAGAAAATAAAAAAAAAATCAGTACATTGAGTATGTATAATAGACGCTTTGAGCTGAGAGTTTTCAGAGACTAGAGAAATTATATTTGATGTATTTTTATTTATTTTTATTAGTTTTTTTTTTATATTTTTGATTTTATATAAATTAATAAATAAAATTAGTGAAAATAAATAACAATAATATTTAGTTAATTTCACAATAAATAAAAATAAAAATATCTTAACTGAATTGCTGAGAAAATGACACCCAAGTATTTGAGCCTTAGTCTCAGAAAAGTGGTGTAGGGAAGGTGAAAGTCAAGCAGCACCTGCAATGGATTTCCAGTCTGACCACGCAAATGGAGGCAAAGTCATTGCCCATGCCGCTGATATCGCCATTGCATAAACTCTCTCTGACTTGAAAGTTATCCCCCTGGGCTCTGTGTCAACTCAAACAAGGTAGAACTAGTGCCCTTTACAAGGAGAAACAAGATTCAGCTCTACTGCTGGAAAGCCTATCGAAGATAGACGATGTCAAAGCCATGGATCAAAGAGTTTCATTGGGGAATCAAAATGGATGGGTGGTGAAACCCAATGAATCCGACTCGTAAGATCAGTAGCCACCACTACCTAACCTAACCTAACTGCACCAAACGGACAGTGCCCGAACCCAGCTAGTGCTAAAAAAGACACGAACTTCTGTTATGAACTTTACGCCAAAAAAAAAAAACAGATCGATTAAGTTGACCGGGGTTATATATATTTAGAAGTACCAGCAGCTCAACTGTCAGTGAGTTAGGCTAACCCTAAGAGCGCCATAAGTCCATCTAAAGGTTTTCAAAACGCTGAACTTAATCTGAAGCCCGAACTAAGGACGAGCTACCGGGAAAAGAAAACTTCTTCAATGATACTTCCTCCTGGCTTCCATCCATTTATACCCCGCATTTTTAAATCTCACTAACAGTCCATTCAAGTCTAGAGGTATTACAATAAATAAATGAATTCGAACTCGCATGGGAATCTCTCGTGTTAAAGTCTCTTAACCTCAACCTTAGCGCAGTCTTCACAGCGCTAATTCCGGCAGCTGTTTCATCTGCACAATTCCAAAACCTCCTTTAAATTAATTTCCCCAGTAAGAAATACTCACTTATTCCAAATGATATCGCCACGCAGCAAAGGCATTTCCATGAGCAACGCAGACAGCAGTGACGTCTTACCACTACCATTTTTACCCACCACCATGGTGAGCTTACCACGTGGCACAGTCACATTGCGCACGGTTAGCAATCGCGTCTCGGCGCCTTGTGAACACCAAGAAAAGCTGGCATCACGCACCGACACCGCCATATCTTCCGGCAATTTCAACACCAGCGAATCGCGACTCCACGAATCCATACGCCTGTGTGCCAATTGCTGGGCCGGCGTCAGCTGTGCATGCGCTTGTGCCGGTGCGCTGCCGGGAAATTTACGCGGTCGTATAACAACGTAAGGACTGTTACGCAGCAAATCACGACGTTGCTGACTCAACTTACGTCCTACGGCGCTGCTGAGTAAATGCTCTTCGCTATTGCGACGTGGCGTCAGCAGGTTTTTATCCAACATAGGCGGCTCGTTCACCGATATGAGTGGCGTTTGTGGCTCGGAGTGTGCCAACGGTGCTGGACTCTCCGGTATGTGTAACTTTAAGGTGAGACGTTCATTCAATTTATTTTCACGTTGCACACGAAATTTATCGCCACCAAAACCCAAACCGCTATCACCGCTGCCACTTTCACTTATCGTCGTGTCCTGCCCGGACTTGCCCTGTACTTCGTAGTAATCGAGTGAGGCGTCGCTCTTACTCAATATGCGCGCCATATGTCGTATGCCCTCGAATTGTTTGTGTATTTCACGTGCGCTGAGAAAACGCTCCAAACGCTTCGTGGACACAATGGCGGAGAGTATAATCGGCACGGTTATGGGAAAAATGAGTAGTGGTACCGTTAGTTGTTGAAAGAGTGCGAGCGCGGAGAATAAGCGACTAGCGGTGAACTCTGCAGCGTCGCCTTCGAGCGCCACATACGCAGCTAGCGTGACGTAGCTGATGAGTACGCTGGAAATGTGCGTGAGTATGGCTGGAAAGGTGGGAAAAACATTAAAACTATTCAGTTTTATTCGAGCTAAATCTCTCACTATCTTTACTTACTCATCAGCGTCCAGTAAAATGAGTCCCAGCAGAGATACTTTAATTCCTTCTTGCGTGTTTCATCAATACGATGCACAAATGACTCGGTCCACACATTGAATTTGATTGCCTTAATACCCATGAGAACGTCGTGAATAATCCGAAGTCGCTGGTCCGCACATTTCTAAAAGTAATAAGATATTGAAGCGTTTAAAAGGAATTTAAAAATAATCGAGATAAATATGAAAGGATCTGAGTCAACCCTTAAAGCGAACACCGGCGGCAGAATGGTCCGCTACTTTGGACAACATTTGAAGGCGCGGAAAGGTCTAGAGGTAGTCGCCTGATGTCCTCAGTTCACCAATTGGTGCTCAACAGTTGAATGATTTTTTACTACTACCTCGAGCTTTAAGCCATTCGCACTTAAATTACTAAGCGCAGAGATGAGAAGAGGGCCACGCATATTAGCCCTTAATATCAAGAGTAGTCATCAGGCTTACAGCTGCTCGTGCATAATTAAACAATACAGAGAAAGAGATGGAGCAAGAGAGTGCTCTTAGACAAGCGTGGTACGCGAAACTCAGATTTCCATTGTTCCTCTATTGCATCCTTTACTTACACGTTTCTAGAGGCGTTGCCCATCGTGGGACACATATAAAGCATTGAGGATTTGTGTCTTCTTTTACCTGACCTTGTTTCGCTTCGAAGAAAACTGATGCTGAGTCAATTTCGATGAGGGAAGGATAGGGAACTTTTCTCTGCTACCTCTAAAATCAAGCAGAAACAACAAGGTCAAAAGTCTTAAGACCTAACTAAAGAATAGAAATCAAGAGCGTGCATCGACTAATCAATTTAGGACACACTGAAGAACTTGAAATGGTTGGAAACAGTTTGTATAAGAATGGCTATAAATGAGCGATGGGAACTGCAGTAGAGTCGTGTGGAATCGGTTCAGAAGCCGGTTCGAGGAAGTCCTCTTCAATTTCGAACCCACTGGCCTGGAAAATGAAGGAAAGGGCTAAAATGTATGCTTCAATTTACTGAGAGGCAAGCTATCTTTGAATAGGAGACATGACTAAAAATTAAAAAACAGATCTTTGATACTCGTAACATTCTTGTCCATGTGAGACTCCTGAAAGCGTCAAGAAGTTCAACCTAACCTACATTTTTCCGAAGAAAACTTGTTTATTTAATATTTTTTAATACCACTCACCGCCACTTTGTCCGTATTGAAAGACATTGCGCGACCAATTAGAAACTGTAACGGTGTCATTGATAAAATGCAGACAAATGAGCCAATTATGGCGCTTATGCCCAATTTAAGGTAAAGTAAATACATAACAACGCCGATCTGCAATAGAAGAAAAAGAAGCAAAATACGAAATGGTTTTTAATAAATTTTAATAAACTTTAATTTTGTTTTAAAATATTGCTTAAATTTTTTTGTAAAAAAATTTTTGAATTTTTTTTAGTTCTTACATGGAGTTGAAAAATCTTTTATTTTAGTTTATAAAATTTTGTTTTAAAATGTTGTTTAAATTTTTTTTAATTTTTTTTTCTTTTAGTACGTAATTTTTAATAATCTTTATTTGTTTTTACAGTTTTATGATTTTCTTATTACCTTGTTGTTATTTTAATTTATTTAATTTTATTATGACTTTGACTATTTATGTTAATTTTATTTTTTATTTTTGATATTGTATTTATGTTTTACAATTTTTTATTAATTTTTACTCTCATTATAATGTTTTTTTATAACTTTTTTGTTATAGTGTTTTAATCATAATTCCTCTATTATTACTTTTTAAAATTTTCCATGCCACTCTTTAATTTTTTATTATTTTTCTTATTATTACATTTGAATATTAATTTTTGTTTATTTATTTTGGTATAAGTTTTAATTTTTTTTTATAAGTTCTTAGTATTGTATTAATTTTTATTTATTATTATTTCTAATTATTAATTTTTATATATTTTTTTACTATTTTTTTTAATATTTTTTTATTATTTTCTTATCGTTTTTTTTATTATTTATGTATATCTTATTATTATTATTTTTTTTATTCTTTCTATTATTATATATTATTAATTTCTTTTTATTATTTTAATTTTTTTTTTTTTTTGTTATACAAATTTTATTACTAATTTTTGTTACTTTTTTCTGTTATAATTTTTTATTTCCTTACTTTTTTTTAAATATTTTTAATTCATTTTAATTATTATTTTTATTATTTTTATTATTTTTTTTTTAAGTAATTAATTGTCGTTTTTTTTTATTATTTATATATATTTTAATATTATTTTTTTTTATTCTTTCTATTATTATATTTATTAATTTCTTCATATTATTTTATTTTTGTTTTTTTATTAGTTATATAAATTTTATTACTAATTTTTGTTATTTTTTTCTTTTACAATTTTTTATTACTTCACTTGTTTTATGAACATTTTTAATTCATTTTTATTATTATTTTTTATTATTATTTTTTATTATTATTTCTTATTATTAATTTTTATACAATTTTTTACTATTTTAATATTATTTTTTTATTCTTTCTATTATTATATTTTATTAATTTCTTCTCATTATTTTATTTTTGTTGTTTTTATTAGTTATATAAATTTTATTATTAATTTTTGTTATTTTTTTCTTTTATAATTTTTTATTACTTTACTTGTTTTATAAATATTTTTAATTCATTTTTATTATTATTTTTAATTATTATTTTTATTACTATTTTTTATTATTATTTTTTATTATTAATTTTTATTCAATTTTTTACTATTTTCTATTATTTTTTTATTATTTTCTAATGGTATTTTTTATTATTTATATATATTTTAATATTATTTTTTTTATTCTTTCTATTAGTATATATTATTAATTTCTTCTTATTATTTTATTTTTGTTTTTTATTTTATTACTAATTTTTGTTATTTTTTTCTTTTATAATTTTTTATTACTTACTTTTTTTATAAATATTTTTATTATTATTTATTATTATTATTTATTATTATTATTTTTTATTATTATTTTTATTATTCATTTATTTTTTTTAATTATTATATTATTATTTCGACGTTTTACTATTTTAATATATTTTAATACTTTCATTTAATTTTTTTATTATCTTTTGAATAACCAAAAATTTATAATTGCTATGTAAATTTATTTGAACCTTTTTACCAAATTCTTTATGGAAATCCTGAATATATTTAAATTCGCTCAAGCATTCATAAATACATTCCATTTTCTTTCTTCTTTTTAGAGGTTAAAATTCATGTGCACATCCAAATAAAAGTAGAAGAAGAATACTAAAAATAACCTCTTATTTAAATAAAATATTAAAATCTCTGCTTTTTAATTATAAAACCATTAAAAATTTTGTTTATACAAATATTCGTGCTCTTGTGAGTCTCATACACGCGCACACATGTAAAGGCCACAATAAATATTCGATCAATGTCAAAATGTAAGATATTTAACACAACAATTTTCATTTTCGTTCGCATTAAACAAAAATTATTCTTCTCCAGCAGCCAAGCAAATAAATGTTTACATACACACAAACATCTAGTACATATGTACATATGATAAAACTTTCATGCACATCTTCATGAATAAATGGCACACACTTGAAATAAAAGAGAAATCAAAATAAGTATTGCAAAAGCATTAAGCATTGAATGAAGATATTTTTGTCTGAAGAAAAAAAGTGAATTTGACGATTTGCATGAAATCAAGGGAATTACTCGAGCATTTCAGCATAAACAAATTACGTAGATAACAAATGCACACACATGTATGTATGTATGTATATGTAGCCTAGCCAAACTGGTACGTAGTTCAATACTGGTAATTTTAAGCTAAAAACAAACCAGTTCGCTTTTGCTCGAAACTCACCAGTAACGGTTATAAGGACGATATTCGGTTGTTAATTTTTTGTTTTATGGTTTTTTCTTGCATTTTTTGCAAAGTAAAAATTCACCATGCATAAATAAACTAGTATTTAACTAGTATAAAACTGCTGCATACATGGGTATATAACACTACGCCTCGCTAGCCGCAGAAAATGATGGGAGGTAAATTTATTTTTCTTCTTTCTATTCATATTCTCTTCTTTTTCTTCTTCTTATTCTTTTTTTGTCTTCTTCTACTTTGTCTTCTTTTTCTTCTTCTTCTTCTTCTTCTTCTTTGTCTTCTATGTCTTCTTCTTCTTCCTCCTTTTTTTTTTCTCTTCTTCTTCTTTCTCTTTTTCCCCTCTATTATTCTTATTATTATTCTTCTTCTTCTTAGTCTTCTTCTTCTCCTTATGTGGCTTCTTCATCCTCCTTGACTTCTCTTCTGCTTCTTTCTCTTTTTCCTTTCTATTATTCTTATTCTTATTCTTCTTCTTCTTTTATTTTTCTCTTCTCATTTTAGTTTTCTTCTTCTTCTTCTTCTTTGTCTTCTTCTTCTTCTTCTTTGTCTTCTTCTTCTTTCCCTTCTTCTCTTTTTCGTTGTCTTCTTCTTCTTCTTCTCCCCCTTCTGCTCTTCTTCATCTTCTTCATCATTCTTCTTCTTCTTCTTCTTCTTCTTTGTCTTCTTCTTTTTTCCCTTCTTCTCTTTTTCGTTGTCTTCTTCTTCTTCTTCTCCCCCTTCTGCTCTTCTTCATATTCATATCCTTTTCCTTCCGTTTATTCTTATTCTTCTCTTCTGCATGTCAGGAACGCATTAGTAAGTTCCAATCAGCTGACATGATGACTTTTCAAGACCACCGGCATACTGATGTCGGTATCAAGGACGAAAAGGATATACTAGCCCGTGTAAAAAAGCGAAACTAGTGCTACGGACTAGTTAATATTTGTTCTTTTTCGGTGGAAGCATATAATTAAATAGCGTAGCAAATAGGCACACGCACACACGCACAAGCTCCCATGCACACATGTCAACAGCATACAAATAAATCAGGATAAGTTTAAGAAAATGCAATTTACATAGCAATAAAAGGAAATAAATTTTAAATTGCAATTGCAAGTTTAATTCATTGCCGAAAATAAATGCCAATTGCACCACTCACATCCGTCAATATAAACATTAAATCTACTTATATACATATGTGTCCTTGTACATACATACCTTCAATGGTATCGCCCATACATAGTGCGCTATCCAGAAGAATGACATCACATTCAAGGCGTCCTCAGACATTAAATTTGTAATGGCGCCCACATCGCTTAAGCCTGCGGTAAGTGAAGAAGTGAAGACGAAGTTTTTTTCCTTAATTTCATTCAACTTTCTTTATTTGGCTTTGCATAAATATATATTTATGTACATTTTTAATTAAAAGCCAATTTAAAATGTGAAAACATTCGAGCATACAAAAAGACATACATATTTTATGAAGATTTACATTTTAATACGCTACAATTATTTATTTCAATTAAATATAAATGCAACGCTATGTACACATATATGTATGTACAAATGTGTGTAAATGCTATAATACGAGTATGTTAAAATTCATGATGAAAAATTACAATACATATTGAGTTAGAAAATGTAAAGATAAAAATATATAAATATAACAATAAAAATAAAATAGAATAAAATAAAATAGAATAAAATAAAATAAAATAAAATAAAATAAAATAAAATAAAATAAAATAAAATAAAATAAAATAAAATAAAATAAAGTAAAATAAAATAAAATAAAATAAAATAAAATAAAATAAAATAAAATATAATAAAATACAATGAAATGAAAAAAAAAACAAAAAAAATTTAAGTGAAATAAAAAAAAACAAAATTAAAATTAAAAAAAAAATTAAATTAAATAAAACAAAATGTTGATCTGCTTTAGCAAAGTACGAGGCATTTGCAAAGGACATGTCTTGAGATGTGCAAGAAAGCTCAGCGCAGTTATCACACTCAGCTGAGCATTTATCTACACAACAACTCGCATGGCTACTCTCTGAGAGCATGCATTACAGTAAAAACTTGGTCAGACCAAGAATATTGTTTTGGGAGACATTACAGATATATGATCGGACGGTGACTTTATATTGAGTCGCTCATTTGCAAACAGGGTTGGCCCGAGTAGTATGAGAAAGAAGACGTTGAAGGAATTTCTGCTAGAAAAAAAGCTCAAAAATTCTTCTAGAATATGTGGTAGCAGACGGAAGGCTGCAAGGTCTATTAGAAGTTCAAAGTAGATTGAGCCTGGAAAAGGAGCAATATTCAGACTGAATTCGGCGCTCATGAGACAGCCAGAGATGGCAAACTCGTCTGCATAATTAATATGAATAGAGTAGACGTCGCATTTTGTTCATTTGCTGGTTTACGATGATCTAAATCTTAAGGTGTACCATTTTTTTTTTAATTACTGCTTTCACACCTAACTTACCGCTAATATCCGCGCCCGGTACACCGCCACTGTCACTTATATTTCCTTTGCTTTCACCATCTGCTTTGTGAACTGCTTTACCTTCCTCCGCAGCCGCCACAGTCTTATCCCCATTAGCTGTCGTATACAAATATTTTCCTTTCGTCTCATCACCATCATTGCCAATGCCACCACCAACAGTTGCCGAGCCAGCAGCAGTTGGCTGTCCAACACTTGAATTGAGCAGCAATGTTTTGCGATAGATTAAACCCTGCAGCGACGTCTTTATACGAATGCCAGTCATGTTGAGTACATGTGTCGAGGCTTGTGAGAGTGCGCCCTGCGCCAATGCGGCCAACAACACCAGCCAAGCGATGGTCCAGCCGTTCGACACTAAATCTAACCAATTCGGATAGTAAATTTGCACTTCACTGTCATTGTAATCGATGCCGGCATGCAACATTTGATTGTTATCATTTGTGGTAACTGTGCCGGTGGTGGACTCGGTGGTGGTGGTGGTGGTGGTGGTGGTGTTTTTAATGATGCTACTCAACAGCCCAATGCTCAGACGACTGGGCACAGTTATCATGGCTGGAGTATGGAGTGCGGCTGTTGATGTGCTGATGATGTGCATATTGTGATTGTTATTGTTGTTGTTGTCGTTGCTATTACGTAAACTATCAGCAGTGTTAGTGGTTAAAGCTGCCGCCAAGGCATTTGTGATCCAATTTGTTGCCGCTGTTTGCAGTTTAATGCGGTGGCTGTCATGCAAATTGCCAAATCTACTGTCAACAACATTTGTAGTGTTGTTGTTGTTATTAAATTGCATCCAATCGGCATAAGTCGTATTGTACATGCTTTCGATATATTGCACAATTTGCTGTATGGCAAGTGGGCCAATCAAAGCACATAAATCACCGCAGAGCTTTAGCAGTCCTCCCAGCGTAAACATTCGCCAGCTGCTGCGCAAATAGCAGAGCCATAGTGAGGGTGGGCGATCGCCATTCTTCTGTAAACATGGAAGGGAGTTTGTGTAAATGAAATGATTTATTGTTTATTAATTAAGAAGAAGTCATTGGGTTACTCAAGTTATTTGGGTTAACTCAAGACGGTGTGCACTATGAGGTCTTAACATCGTCTCAGTCCAACGAGAGTTGACAAACAAAAGGTGGTTTCGACCATGAAAAGCTGCAATTGGAACAGACAGTTAGTCAGTTTTCTACTTGACTTGCACTCCTGCTCTTTGAGAGGACTCATTAGCAACTCTGTGTAAGCAAACTATGGGACCGGAAGCACCCTATAGGTTACCGACAAAAGAGCAGTTTGGTTTCGGCAAGATCAAAAGAAGAGTGTATGTATGAGCTTAGAGAAAAAAGATTGTCTTTGTCATTGGAGACGACCGGAATCCATCTGGAGTAGAAATCTCGAAAAATTCTATGAGAAAATGTGACAATATCCAGAAGATTTCTAGACCGATGCATAGTCATATAGGAATCAAAGAGGTGATCTAGTGATCTACATGCAGACCAAAGCCCCGTCAAAGAACTGATTGGACTTTATCAGGGTGGTTTTACACCGGTTAGATCCATCTTAGACCAGATGTTCACCATGAGACAAATCCTTCTTCGTCTTTGTTTTAAAGATACCTTCAACAGCATGAAAACGAGCCTGGAGGGATGAACTGTAAGAGTTGAACTACTTCAAGATCTTAACCCCTTGAAGTAAACACGGCGACCGCACTTGCTAAGCCGTGTTCTAGGAATGAATGAAAATATCCAGCCTTTAAAAGTATACCATGTAGTTCCTGCTGATGGAAGCAAAGCAAGAGAGTACCGCTCCGTTGTAGAGATCAAGTGGAGAGAGACTTAGCTTTACTTGACATCTGAATTCAATCCATTCAAGCTCCTGCTCTCACGTTATTTGTCAGGAGGTGACTAATGAAGGGGAATAAATAAATTTCAAATCCATTCATGTCACGGGCAAGAGCACGGAAGTTGACAAATACCACACTGGCAATGCTTGTTACAAAATAAGATTTCCTAAGCTCGAAGCCGACACATGTTTCAGCCAAATTACTCACCTAACATCCCCTCATTCTATCCTATGTTGAAATTTGAATTTTTTCCTGGTACTCACCACTTTTGCTTCATCTTTCGCCACTTTTTGTTTGTTACTCACCACTTTTGCCGTTTTATAGATCAACAAGAACTGATCGTAATGCGCACGCGCACTATCTTCCAAACGCATTTGTCCTAAATCTTCAACTTCCAAAGGCTCCTTATAGCCGAACCACAGCAAGGGTGTGAGCCACCAAAAACACGCTTTCGAATAAAATGTGGCCAAGGTGTGTTTATAGCCGATTTTATCATAATCCTCCAAATAGTCAGGGCGATAACGCTAAGTTATAGTGGAGAATAAAAAAAATACAAATATTAAATTATATATAAAAATGTATGTATATATGTATAAAAATCTATATATATATACGATATATATTACAAACAAATATACGGTCTTTAGTTTACACACCTCTTTGTATATCGTAAAACCATCAATTGTCGCCATTCCCAGTAGTGAGAGCGCCGATAAGGCCTCAAGACATGCTTCCATTTCATAAATATTTTGATAGTAAAATATCTCAGCAAGCTCATAAGTACGTATAAAGGATATAAATAACTCAACGATGCATGTGAAATAGAGGTAATCTAGAATAATCGAAGAAAATAGGATATAAGAGATAAGTGAAAATGTCTAATATAAAGCGGAAGAAATTATAATTCTAAATGAAATTAATATCAATAATTAAATTAAAATTAAAATTAAATTAAAATTAAAATTAAAATTAAAATTAAAATTAAAATTAAAATTAAAATTAAAATTAAAATTAAAATTAAAATTAAAATTAAAATTAAAATTAAAATTTAATTGTTAACTAAAATGTAAATTAAAAACAATTATAAATTTAAAATTAAAGAAATTAATATTAAAATATTAAAATTAAACTTAAAATTTCACTATTCTTAACTCACTTGTTGATTTCTTCACCTCCATCACGCGATGATACCACATCAGTATTAGGGTGAGACTCAGTGCTGCCAAAGCATTCCACAGCAAATCATTGCCAATTATTAAATATATAAAATTATTCCCTAAATTATTATCCGTTGTAACTTGTGCTTGTTGTTGCTGTTGTATTTGCTCTGCTGGCACGGGTAATAATGCGCGCGCTAATTCCATTGTGTTCAAAGCAAATAAAAGCAATGCGACTGCAGCACGTAAATTATGATATAACAGTAATGTGTGATGTAGTCTGCAAACAGAAGAAGTAGAGAAAGCTAAGTATTTGTAATTATGTTTATTTAAATTTCATTAAAATTCTACCGTATAAAAAGGACTAAAGCCCTTCGGAGAGGTGCAATATCAACACTTTCTCGGATGTTACCACTGAAAACGGTATTAGTCCTAATGCTTTATTGAGGACTTCCGAGATGGACCGCACTCACATAACTATTGGCTATGAGACGATCAATATTTATGTTTTTCATGTAGAATACCTTACAGATCGTGATCGGGTTTCACTGGGATTCGTTGTAATAAAAACTGTGGGCCTATAAATCCTTATCATCTTCCTAGATTCTCACTTACGAACACTTGCTGCAGTTAATTTTGCAAATTACCCTAGTAAAAATTTCAAAGGCAGAATTTTAAATCACAGTGTACGCTGGGTAACAGCTGAAGTAGTACTAAACCGAGACTTTCTCATCTATATCCCCACAGTTGCCACAGAAGTCGTTGGGGAAGAAGTCCATTCTCTTACTATAAGGCCTCGTTAGACAATACACGGTTATTACGTCTAATGGAGGTCTCCTTTAACACCTGATCGGACAGATATCAACAGCCGCAGCCCCTCTATTATCTGCATTCAAGGTGTAAAAAGGTCACTTGCCTAAGTGGCTCTGAGACTTTTAACTCTTTAAACACTCTAGATATGAGACCCAATAACCCCTACTAGTGAATATACAAACATCTCCCTCCGAGGACAATCAGCTACTACACTAATTAATAAAGTGAGCCGCGGAACATACGCACATCTAGAACACTGGAGACAAGTCGTCCGTCTAACACAATCGATCTGGTTGCGAGTTCTTTGATCTGGAACAATCGTGTTGCTACGCAATCATAATTCGGAACTCGATAAAGTCAATTAGCCTGAGCTAAATTGGTGAAGTCTCGTCGTGCAGACAGAATCAGCCGACTTTTGCGCCGAATATACCTGTTTTGCGTATCGTAAAATTGCGAAGCATTACGTCTTGATGGCTGCACCTTTCGTAAGTGCTTTCAAGGCGCTCATAGGAGGTGCCTGTGTTCCCATCATACTTTAATACCTACTGGCACTGGTAACGAAGTCCCTCTTCTACCATGAACGATGCACAATCACTTATTCTTATCCGTTCTTTTTGCGTTCAACGCGTTTCTTAGACGACGGTGATGTTAGTCTTTAGCTTTACATGGACGTCAACCAAATTGGGCAGCGCCGCGTGACCTATTAAGAGACCAAACATTGCAGTTGCTGCTGAAGCAATTTTCGACCGAGCTCCTCCACAAATTTGTGGTATACATCTTGTTGTTTTTCCAATAAATGGAACGATCTGCAACCACCGCTGCTGAATTTTTATGAAGAGCTAGCTTTTTTCATATCAGAAACACTCGAAGAGTTTGAGATTCCCTGCCAAGAGTGACAGCAATTTATGGTTGTTGGTCGAATCAGGTAATACGCAGTAGTAATTGAATCTGGTTTTTCACTTCGCTACGCGAGTAAGGCTGGTTAAGAGACGGTTCCAGTGGACCCTTAAACCGGAAATATCGCTGAGGTTTCACTAAAACTCTCTCCATCTTCTACCCGAAACCCAAGACTCCATACAAAATTTAATGCTTAACCCATTCACATCTGAAATAAAAATTTCCCACACCAACAACAAACTACTTGAGACCCCACAGAGCACAGACAAACTCAATTAGAACACACAGTCATTCAGGCGAATTCATTCATAAAATCGGACAAAAACAACAAAAAACAAACAACAACTGTCTATTGAATGTACCATATATTTCGGTGCCACAAGTGGTAGACTCTTAAAAGCATAGTAAGAGACTGCTTGGCACACCAGAGTCTCCAAGTGCCACTTGGCCAAAGAATATAGAAATTGATTTATTGGCGCGACTGCACCTTACACCAATTACTATGCCACAAACGGTACTAATAAGAGGAATAAACATAAACAATATATGTACGAGTACAAAGATGTATACTAAAAGCGTGGAGCGGAGTAGCAAAAACAAAAACAAATGCACCGAATGAAACAGCACTTTAATGGCCAACACGTGTGCATTATATACATACATATACATACATACATAGCAGTTTCATTCATATGTTGCATAGACTTCAAGTAGTGCTGCATGCTATAAATATGCCAACACAGCACTGCAAGGAGAACTTCCAGTTGGAAACTCTCCTGCCACTAGTTTCCATTTACACACCAACTAGTTCCTTGTCCATCATTTCAGCGCTGTTAGTGCTATGCATCAGCCTTGTACTAGTTAAATACCAGTTTGCTCATGTGTGTTGGAAAATTAATTAATATAAAAAATAAAACTATAAAAAAGCAAATGAAAAAAAATATTTTATATGCGGTCGCCCCTCGGACTGTATTTCTGACATAAAACAAAAAGTTTCTCTAAAAATCCAGCAGCCATTCGGAAGCACCTTAGAATAAACTGTGAGTCCAACCACAAGGCACACACCACAAATTGGAGCTGGAGCTCCGCCGAAAATTCTTTTAGCGGTTACAAAGTGCACGTTCGATCTCTGATTCTGCAGTCTGACAATATCTAACCACTCGGCCATCGAGACTGTTATTTTTTCACCCTTCAAATACCAGTTGAGAACTAACATTCCTTATGCTCTAACTTAGCTTTTCTCTGAAGGGTAGCGTGGTCCAATGTATACAAAATATACCCACAATTGCGTGTGTATGTAAATAATGACTCGCCAACTTCAATTGCGGCCACACACCTGCCACAATACAATTTTACTTATGTTGCACGTGTAAGCATGCGTAGAATCCTTGTAGGAATGCATTTGGTTGAGGTTAAAAGCTAAATAGACTTCCTCTTCGCAGCACAGCACAGCCGAGTTAACTGGTAAAATAGACAATTCGACTTCAGTTTAGCAGCTGCCGTAATGGCGATCTTCCGAGATCGATTCCGATCGAAAGTTAGCGCTTGTTTCGTTGGTCTTTTTCACAACCACACTGCCAGATACTTAAAATTTTCGCCCACATGGTCCTGAAGCGCTGCACCGATCTAGATCCAGAACACCAATGAGACGGAGATGAGTAAGCTACAGACTTGTAAAAGTGCCATCTTGAAGACAAGGAATCAATCGCCTTGAAGCAGAGTCATCTAGCAGGTATATCATAAATGAAGCAATAGACTGCTTGGATTCTATAAGAGAAGCTCTAAATACGAAGTGTAAACTTCACCGCCTAAGCGGACGGAAGCTTGATCTCTTCCCTGTGACGCCCAGGTAATTCTGGCGCTATTTTGTTCTGTATATTGTAGAAAATTCTGTTTATGTTTATCGAAACTTAACAACGACATATCTAACGCATGTCCAGCATGCAATGAGATCACACACGACATTATTCAGGTCTCTGTGCGTTATCTTAAAGCGAATAAACTAAGATTCCTCTTCTTTTGGACCAGCCCCGTCGTAATAACCCATTCTTCAGTCTGTTGTCAGATGAAATCGATAAAATAGACTAGCCCGCAATAACAAAAATCATACATACATATACGAGGGGCACCATATATCTTTTTTCGGCCTAGAGCCGTGTCGTGAACAACTGACTTCAGCCAATCGGAAAGAGTAAGCTAAAAAATTCATAGGAATCACCCTCCACTCAAAATATTTTGCATCGCGTCTTCGCCGGATTCACACTAGTCCGTAACTCGCAGAATACTTAAAAACCAGTTAGGAGCTTGGCAAGGCAATGCTGACCTGATGAAGGTGATGGTAGATAGCTTGCAGTTTGGCCTCCATTGATGGTCACAGAGGTGAGGAATTGTTGCTCTGACTTACTTACTTCCTTCCGTCCTTACTTCCTTCCGTCCTTTCTTTTTGCACAATATCACCTGCTTGCAGCAGCAGTGTCGTTCTTTGCAACAGATCTGTCCGAAGACTACATAGAGATCATTTTTTTGATCAAAGTCTGCTAAATGCTCGAATGAGATGTTCTTTTTGGATCTTTTACCTCCTCCTGGTCGTTGTGGTCATTCAATCCGCAGATCCAACGCTGAATCATGCTTCTTTGAATGTACGGAGATTATTACCAAAATTGAGAGCCGTCATTTTTTTTTATTAAAGTTTGATCTAAAGCAGACTTGCAGTGTCATTCCTACAGGGTAGTTATCAGTGTTGGAATATAAATGAGTTTACATACACACAGCTGAAAATTACGGGAATTTCCGCAGTTGTCTATACGTTCGTGCCTATTCGCATAAATGCAATACAACTCTTCGGCAGTCTGATTAGTGCATTGAAGTGAATAAGTGAAATACATGAATGAATGTTTGTATGTATCTATGCACCTACATACGAGTGCTTACAAATATATGTGTACAAGCATATATGCGTTCAGAAGCATTTGTCGATTTTATTGATTTTAATTTTATGATTATTTGTGCTAATAAAGGAAATGAGAGTAAAAGTGTGGTGCTTGAGTATGTATGTATGTATGTATTTAAGTATGATAGTGGGGAAAATAATATTTTCTATTGAAGTACTTAAATTCATTGTGATTTTAATTGTATAAAGCTTTTTTCTTTCTATTCGAATAATGACTTCCAATTAACGTTTACAATAACTTTAAGTGGCAAATCGAAATGCTTTGATTAAATCACTTAAAAGAATAATTAATTTGTGTATAAACATATATGGTGTACTTCCTTAATCAAGGGGAGCATTCTTACAAAATATGCCAACACCAAGCACTTAGAAAGCTAAACCCGTTTTCAATTGAGCTAGTTGAGTACTACTCAGAAAATAGCACATCAAGCAAGCCAACTCTCTGTTTTTTACAATTGACTTGCGTTTTTTGACACTAAACAGCTCTACGAGAGAGCAGTTGTCATAATTATATCATAAATATACTAATATTATACTAGTATAAGAAATGAAAAACTACATAGTTTAATTACGGACCAAAATTAACACTTTATTCATTATAAATAATAAATAATAAATAA